GTTGAAAATTTAGTGATGTAACTCATAATAGGATAAAAAAAAAATTTCTTCCTACCTTATTAATGAAACCTAACGAGTAGAAATTAGTGGAATAAGGAATTTTCTTTAGTTATTATTATTATTATATATTAATTGTGTCCACATCTGATAATATTATTTTTGGGTGATAATATTAAATAAAGAGTAATATAGCGATGTAACTCATAATAGGTTAAAAAAAATATCTTCTCTCAACCTTTAAATAAAACCCAACGAGTAGAAATTACTGGAATAAGGAATTTTCTTTAATTATTATTATACATTAATTCTCTCCACATTTGATGATATTAGTTTTGGGTCATAGCATTAGTTCTAATTATATATCACTTAACCTTTTACCTCCGAGCGGCACCAACCCGTATACTTGTATAAATCTTGCATGAAAATTGCATAGAGACGTAAAGCTTACACAAAACAAAAGTTTAATTTTTTTTTCTTTTTTATTTGAAAAGAACTCTATCTCCAAAAAAATTTTTTAATAAAAATGGAAAATCCATAAAAAATTAAACTGATAATTTGTATCATTTGACTTTTATGGTAAAATATATATATATATAATAAAATTGAATTGAAGCCGAGAAATATGAGGCAAGCAACTTAATGAAAATTCTGAAATGGATATTCAAGATTTTTTGTTCATGCAACAATTTATATGATGGTCGATGCTGTTTGGAAAATTAATCGATTTTTTTTTTTTTGGAAAAATATTCTTCTTGCAAGAAGAGACATCTTTTAATAATTTAACAAGAAAACAACCAACACTGGCTGGTATGAAACAAAATAAGCATATGCGTGATATTCTAATGTTAATTAATAATACCAACAGTTATTAAAATGATTGTTTTGCAAATTATCTAAATCTTTTCCTGTTTCCTAAAATGTCAATTTAAACTTGCCGAAAGTTTTAAATGAGGAAGCTCTCTCAGCTTTTTCTTCCCTTTTTTTTAGCGCTGGTATTTTGAGTATCTTCTGATCATTGAAATTCTGGTTTTTCTTCAAGTTTCTCTTTTTAATCTCTGGAAATTATTCAATTTTAATAATGGATTTACTTTAGAAATATAAATGAGTGTTATTGAGATAACGTTCTATTAATTTTCTAAAAAGATGAAATAAAATCCATTTTATCAAATTCTGCATTTTAATGTAAGATGATCCTTTCTTATTCTCCCCTATGCAAACCATCTTTCTTTTCCTTTTCAAGGACAAAGCTTAAAGAGGAGAAAATATATCTTATAGTCTAACAGCTATACGATTGTGCAATTCTTTTATATACTTTTTATTAAATCAAATGTCACCAAGTAAAGGAAATCTCTGCAATCATACATTATAAACTATAGGGGAATAAATAACCTCAAAACAATGTATGATTGCTTGTTTACATGACTTTATATAATGTAGGTAGGAACAGGACAACTGAATAACCTAAAAGCCTTTGGGCGTCGTGATACTCTGTACATTAATGTTGGAACTTGGAAATTCCTCCCCAGATTTTTGGGTCCACATCTTCAAATTTTATTCGGGTTAAATTAATACTCTATTATGAATAAAATGTAGAAGCTACCTATATAACTAACTTACAAATGTTAAAAAAAATTAGTTAAGTTAATTACTTATATAAAAAAAAGAGTGTTGGTTGCTCAAAGTCAAAAATATCCTTTTTTAATTATTTGCATTAAAACCCTATTAATGAAACCCCGACTTTAATATGTTCAATCAATACACAGATAATTCAAAGAAAAATGCAATTTTTTGATGAAACCCCAACTTTACACCAACTTCTTTGGTTTCTTATTTTGAAAACAATTTTGTATTTTTTAAAAACAAAAAAATACTTGATAAGTTGTTTTAGTTGGTTGTTCTACAAAAACAAACATACAGTAATATGGTTTTAAAAACTAAAAAAGAAATTTACATTTTTCTTTTTTTTTTTTTTTTTTTTTGAAAAATTGGTAAAACCTTCTTCTCTTCTCACCTACTGCTGACGCGGCAACCGTGGCCTCCCAAATGTGATTATTTTATTATTTTTTATTTCAAATGTGATTTTAAAAAAATCATTCAAGCATTTTTTTATTCTCAACTCTTATTTTAAAGAAAATTTTTATAAATTTGTTCTAAGAACCAAAAAAAAAAAAACAAACAAGCCTTATAAATTTGGAAGATAAAAGAAAATTAAGTGGTAAATAATTCTTTAATTAGTTCCTACATTTATTGCTGAAAGAGTAAAATTTTTTTGGTACAAGAAAGAGTAAAACATTTTATAGTGCTAGAAAAATTATTAGAGAGCTATGGGATTCACTAACTCCATGTGTTCTGTACACGAAACGAAACGATGGCCACTTATAGAGGTAATTTGGGGTGTATTTCTTATTTTTACTAGTCCACCAAGGCTTCATGCTTCATTATCATTCTTCAATTTACATTATCGATCGAGCAGCCCAGTAAAAATATCTTACTTTTCGATTTGAAATATGCACAGTATGTCCCAATTCCGATTTCTAATCATTAGCAAAATTTTAGAGTTTAGTTGGATTATTAATTTTATAAATCTGTAATCATAAAAAAAAATGGAAAAGAAATATGAGAACTTTGATGAGATTAAATATAAGAAAGAATATGTGACAAAAAATCATAGGAAAAATAATGAGGCTCAAATCCCTCCTGAAAAATATGCTCATATTTAGTGCTTAACCATACCTTAAACATGATTATCTCTAATTGGAATTATATTACCTCTAATATGAAGAATATTATGAGCAAGCAAAAAAATTAATTATTGACATAAAAAAAAACTTAAATTCTCATATATATATAAAATAACCCAAATTAAATAAATAATAATAAACTTATAAAATCTAAAATAGGATAGAAAGAATGTTTGCTATGTTTATGTGTGTGTCCAAGGGTGTACACACGAATGATAAATAAAGTAAGTTTGTGATTTTTCAATATATAAGCAATAAAAGATGAGACTTACACGTATATTTTGATTCATCATATCTTATGATTTAAATATATTAGCTAGGAATAAAGAATGAATTGAACTGATAATTTATTGTTATTGATATTATCATAAAAAATTAAATTACTTAAATCAGTATAAAATATTAATTTTATATATTATTACGGAATGAAATAATAAATCTATCATGTTATCGCACGAAGCAAACATTATGAAACACGCTAACATTAGTAACCATCATAAGTGGTTGCCCCAATCATCAGAGTAACCATTGGGGGCAATATATATATATCGCAGCACATAGAATGGCCAGTATGATTGAAAAGTAATTAAGCATTAGGAAACACAACTTAGGTGATCTTTATCCTATACATACATCTCTCTCTCTCTCTCTCTCTCTCTCACACACACACACACGGACACACATATATTAGGTAGAATGGACATAGATTAATTATAGTAAATATATCAAATCAATTCAATACAGGTTTTTGGAGTTGAACCAAAAAAGACTAATGCACACTATGTCTTAGTGAAATCTAATGAAGTTACAATCAACAGTTGGTCCAGTTAGTAAAGAATTAGCTCATAATCTATAAGATCATGACTTCAACATGTGGGAGCTTTTTTGGTAGGCAATGTGTAAGTATTTCTATAACCGCTTATTAAACCTAGAGGTATACTCTGATCCTGGTAAGCTACCAGAACCCAACTCGCCTAGATTTTTCTATAAAAAAAATCCAATAAAGTTACTTATAATATGTGGAATTTGATAGATCATTCGATTTGAATAAACTAAAAAAAAAAAAAACCAATCACACGGGTTAACCTAACTTATTGCGTACCGGTAACTCTCTCCTGCCACTAAAATTTCCATTAAAATCACTGCCATAGGATTCATCAGTTGACTCCATTACTTGGCAAACTAAAAACCATAATCAATACACTGGTTAACTTATTACTGGTAACTACTTCCTACCACCAAACTTTACCATTTTCTGGTGCGCTGCATTTGAATGATGAACATATAATAATATTAAGGGATGAGATGCATGAACTTATCATAACATTAAGGGACAATTAATATGCATATTACTATAATTTGACTTCATTTTTAATGAAGTCCTTATAGTTTTTCTCTTTTTATTGTGTTCTTATTACACTTCCCTTAGTTATAGGTATTGATCCCTAGACTCAAAATTTGTTACTTAGCAAGAGAAATTGGGTTAGTACCTGATGACGTGGCTTTCACCGCTGCAAGAAAAATAGAGAGCTTTCAACAATGAAAATAGTCACTGAAATTCAAATTTTCAGCAAGTCACTCTTGATTCTTAAGTTAGCTAAGTATTGAAAACTGTAAGTTGACAAATGGATTGGTTTTGGAAATTCTTTTTAACTAACTGAATGCAATGAAATTCATTTGTTTTCTTTTTGGCATTTTTGTACAAAAATAGTATAAAAGTATGAAACATGAGTTGTGAATTTTAAAGTTAAGGCAAAAAAAATCTGTTAAAAAACTAGAGTAATTTTAGAAAACTAATAAACTATATTGATTGGCACATCTCAATGCCAAAATCATTTTTTTTTCTCACGTAAATAAATGATTTCCAGAACTTTAAAAATAGAATTTCAAAGAATCCTCATATAAATTTTTTATAATTAGTTATAAATTTTTAAAGTTTGACAAAAATCTAAATATAGCAAATGAATAGCAACCAAATAATCAAAATGCAAATTTTAATTTATGAGCTTCAATTCCATATTTTCATGAATCATAGCACTACCAAATGCGTAATAAAAGCACAAAAATGACAGAAGTGAAATATATAACATGTGTCTTAAATCAATCGTGACGCTCTTTCCAAAATAATTTAAGGGTCTTGCTACGAGAAAAGATGAGCTTGTAAGGCGTATACTGATGAATAAAACATTTGGCAAATTCGAACATCATAGTCCATTAATATTGCTTTTAGATATATCTATTATTCGAATCAAACAAAGATCATGGACAATTAGGGTTTCTGCCAGGACCCCCAAAATAGAAGAATCTTCCCCAGTCATCAGAACGGCCAGATTGGACATCATAGCAATTGGGACGATCAACCTGAGGGAAAGTGTTATCAGCAGGAACCATTTGGTTTTGACCATTAACAAACTTAATGTTCTTGAAATAGCTAGCTTTTCCAAAATGTTCTCTTGGAAATTGCCCACTTCCCATTTGAGTTGTGGTGTGTTGCCCATTAGTTGCTGCATTTACAATTTGACCCCCCCACTGTATGATTGATGCGCTATCAGAGAGGTGCGTGAACAGAGACGAAGGCCAATATCCCATAACTTTATCAGCACCGTATTGCATCCACCAGTCTCCGTTGCTTTTGTCCTGCTCATTAATTATACAAATTTTCTATTTCAAAAAAAAATATTTACACGGTTCTTGATATTCTAATGTAAGCCGGAGTTATAAAAAAGACAAATAGATCAAGCTTTGTAACAAGCACAAGTTCTTAGAGGAACCACACCTCAAAAGCTAGTTGTTGGAGTTAAGTTCAAGGCCTTATAACATATGAATATTAACGTGGCTTTTTGTATAACTTATATACATAAACCGAAGTATATGGAATACGTAATTTTCTAATTGGTGAAGCTATATATTCCTGCAAAGAGAGAGGACACAACTAAGGAAAAATGGCACCTTCCAGATCATGATGGTGATATCATATTGGGAATTTGTGTCATTGTATACAGATAAGGGTTTGATTGTGCTTCCAACGGCTACTCCAGCGTTAAGTTGGATAAAGCCAGAACAGCGAAGATCATAACATCCTGTCATCTCACAAATATTAAGAAAAGATCAACGACATCACACAAAGAAATTGATAAAACATTTTAAAAAGCAAGAAGAAGAATTGTGGGGCTGCTAAGAACTTGGAAGTTGGAACTCACAGTCCAAAATGTAAAAAGTCTGGTTCGATTATCCCCATATAGATATGGATTCACCTGATTGTGCAAAAAGTAAAGCAGCAAGTCAAAATACGTTTGTATTTGTTCATATGCTTTCTAATACTTATATTTTTTATTTTACCCGCCAACCAGCAAAAATTGCATTGAGTTTTTGTTTATCAGCATCATTCATAACCCAAATTGCAGATACACTCCATTCCACGTCCTGTAGAACTTTAGGGTTCCAAACGTTCATGGTTCCCTTGCCTCCATAATATTTATCCCCTTTCACAAAAATTGAGGCATGCTGGACACTCCAAGAATATAAAAACATCAAATAAATGTCATACATCTCGCATCAGAAGGCTACAATGAGAGGCCTGATGAGGCCTTTGTTCCCCAACTCTAACAGCTAGCTTTTGGGATGTGATTCTCCTAAGAATTTATGCTCGTTACAATAAACAAAACAAAACACACACTAAGCTTGTAGTCTGGTTATTAGAGAGACCACATTTAGTGATACTTCGTTGACACGTTGACCTCCAGCGTATGACGGTAAATGGCTTGTCTGGAGATTCTTCTCCCCAAATTTTTGTGTAGAACTTGTCCTCAATATGTCTTCTTCTGTTATTCTTCTAATAGGAATGGTTCCTTCTGGACAACTTCCACTTTGGTGCCAAAGTTGAGAAATTGGCGCTGATTTTGATGCCACGTTGCTTTCTTCAAATACTATCCCTTCTGGGTAAGAGCTTGGCCTCATCTTCAATCATGTAAGAAATAATTAATAATTGCCTGGTTTCAAAATTTGAACCAGAGAAATAGTAAAACAAAAGGGAAACCTCGTACCCGAATTTTGTGATTTTTCAGTTTTGGGTGATCGAAAGCTGGTTGTTTTAAAATGTCAACACAGTCAATTATATCTCCATCAGGACTCTGCATTTAATCAGACAAATTGTTAGCACAGAGCATCATAAATTGTAAAAACCACAAATAATTTCAAATTTTCAGTAAAAGTACCCAAAAAAAAAATTCACTTGCTTGCTTGCTTTATATATAAACACGCATATGTCTACCTTGATACTCTTGACAGCCTGTTTGTTCAACTTCTTCAAAAGCTTCTGAGCATCAAGTTTCTGGATAGAATTACCATCTTTGAGGTTTCGATTTGCCATCGTCATTTGCACAAAAAGGAACAGGAAGCAGAACACAACCCAAGTCTTCTTATTTCTTAATTTGTTCGCCGTAGTGAGAAATATGGAGTACCTTTTGTGGAAGTTCCCAAGTGGTTATTCGAGACGATGACACCGGAATTTATGGGCTGATTTGTGCTGTTACAATCTCAAATTATTTGATATTATCCTTCTTGACAAGATTTTCCTTGCAAGATGAATCTGGTAACAAGGATTAAAGAAGGCATCGCATAAAGGAAATTTTTTAATGTCTAGATCAAGGGGATTCCTAACCCAGCAATCACGGGGATTTGATTAATTCCTCTTTTCCACATCGGGATTTGGTTTATTTAACGGTAATATATATATAATTGTTTGGTCATTTAATCTATAATTTATTTTTGAAAAGTACAAGTTGCCAAATGTGAAAAATCCTTAAAAATTAAGGATGATTGCAGAATCTGTAAAGAAGACTTGCAATTTGCAAATAATAAAACAACACCTCTTACAAATTTTTTCATGTGTTTCAATTGGTTATAAAGAGAAAATTTTCCCCGTACAACAAGGAGAGACTTGCATTTCCGCGTATGGATTGGTTTGGTCGAGTCCGACTATTGCAGCTCATGTTTAAACCTTGCCTGGGGATGACTGGGTCTGGATTGAGATGGGCAAGTACTGGCCAAGTTAGGCCCAATACAAAAAATGAGAAGTTTCAACATAAAAATATTTATTTATTAAAAATGTTAAAATTATCTTCATTTAAAGTATTGTATTTCCTGAAGATAATACGTGGGATAAGAAATATTTTTTAGAAAAAAAAAATTAAGAGTACTAATCTATTACCCATTATTTTTTTCCATAATATCATTATTTTAAGAACCAATCCATTTGAAATTTTAAATAAACATTTTGTAATCATCATAAAATTAATTTGTCTTGTGAAATGTAAAAGTAATTTATAAAATCAGTCAATATTATGATACAATACATACTCACACATATATTTATGTGTGTACGTATGCAGAACCTCTGCATTGTATGCAAAATTTATAACATACCACTACCTTCAGTTTTTAATATAGGACCCAATTAATTAATTTGGATAGATTTAAAAAATTACTAAATTATAACATATATTACATGATCTCTCTAAAATACATCTGTGTATCATTATATTATAAATCAAAAGTGAGTCAAATTAGTTTGGAAAAAAAAATTAAAAATACTTTAAAGTAATTTAGTAGCTTTCTCACAGGACAGATGCATTTGTGGATTTAGTTGTAAACTGATTGCAGTTTCATAGGCGATTGCAGAGCTAATTGGATTCATATACGGCCACGGGAAAATCATTTTACTCTCTGATTGTATCGAAGCAATTAATATTTGCCTTAGAGGCTGTGATAGAGATCACCCTTTTAAGGATGCGGTGGATGAGGCTAGACTTAATATTCATAGAGATTGGCAAGTTAACATTACTCATGTGTACAAGGATTATCTCACTATTGCTGATAGGCTTGTTAAGTTGGCGCATAGGATCGGGAAATTTTTGCTCCTTCATCAACCTCCATTTCTTGCTCAGGAGACAGATGTTGATGAAGGATAGGGTTGTTAATTTCTGTTGTATGTACTCGTTTTTTGTTTTAATGCAGCTTCAGTTTTTATTAAGAAAAATTATTAGCTTTTTTAATCTCTTTAAATTAGTCAAGTAGGTCTTATATTAAGAACTGAAGCTAGTAACACAATCTGATTTTTTTGGGTCAAAGGATATCACAATATGACATTGCATATTGTCCCACTACATAATATTACATTCTAAATTATAAGGACTTGTCTTTATCAAGCCTTATCTGATACAGATCCCATCACGCAGTTATAGTACTCACGCCACAATTCCTTTCTTTATTTGCTTGACATAACAAGATAGATTTAGACTTTTTAAACTTCTCATATAGTTTTTCTACAGACAGTCTCGGTTTCTTCCAGGACCTCCATAGAAGAAGTAGGCACCCCAGTTATTAGAATGACCAAATGGGGTAATATCATAGCACTTGGCATTGCTAGCGTAAGTGCCAAAGTTACTTGGAGACACAAGATAATTATTTCTATTAACAGTAGAAACGTCCTTGTAGAAGCTAGCCTTTCCAAATCCTGCTTGAGGGAAATAACCACTTCCCATTCCTGTTGTGGTGTGCTGGCCGTAAGACCTTATGTTTATTATTTCACCTCCCCACTGCACATTTGATGCACTCCCAGACATATGATTGAACAAAGAAGCTGGCCAATATCCCACAAATATACTATTCCCAAGTAACATCCACCAGTTTCCACTTCCTGGATCCTGCCCCATCCATCATCATAATTATTGTTATATTTTTTCTCAAACACAGAGGGAATCATATGATATTATGCCATTAGGGTTTCTTTCGAGTTTATTACTGCTGATATGAATTGTTTGGATTTCTCAAGGGCTATATGTTTTGTTACAAAGAGATAATTGGTGAACAGTCCTTATTTAGAAATTTTATTTACTAGAAAAATCTAAATTTGAGTACAAGTATCTTCTGTTTATGAAATCCTACAAAGTACCCGTACTTTTTTATGGATAAAAATATATAAGATCTTTCTTGCCAATAAAATTTTCAAATAGAAACTTTTTACCCGATTTTCTCTATTGCAAGAAGGAAAAAGAACGGGTTGATCATAATTGATCAGTTATGTATTTTTGATTTGGTTATAACTCAATGCATGAACTTTAGCTCATTTAACATAGTTCTTCAAGTTTTAACCATTTAACTTTTATGTTTGAGCCAATAAAATTAATCATTTATGTACTGGTACACTTGTTTGGTTTTCTGTTTTCAAAACGACCTTACCTTCCAGATAAGGATGGAGAATGCATATTGAGAACCACCATATACGGAGAATGGTTGCAGGCTGCCTCCAACTGCTATTTTATTATCAACTTGAACAAAGCCAGAGCAGCCAAGATTGTAACATCCAGTGCGGTCATATGAGTCGCTCTATGGGCAAGAAAAAGGCGTGTGGTGTGTATATATATGTATGTATATGTATTAAAAATAATAACAGTAATTAATATATAACAACAAATGCAATTATTTGAGGACACAACAAATTATAGCTAGGTTGGTAAGAGAGATTTGAACTTACTGTCCAATATATAAAAAGTCTGGGTTTATCATCCCCATATAGTCCTTGATAGATCTGATTTTCCAAACCAAGGAACAGACAGATCAAAAATAGTATTCCTTGAAGAGAAATATAGAAATGCACTCATCCATATACATGTGATGTCCAAGAAATTATATACGGAACATATATGCATATATATGTCGTATATATACCTGCCAACCAGATTCGATGGTCTCAACCTTATTAGAATCATCACTATTCACAATCCAAATTTGAGAGAGGCTAAATTCATTGGATTCTTGAACGTGGGGCTTCCAAATGTTTATGGATGCCTGGGCTCCATAGTATCTATTTCCTCGCAAATCGGCTATGGCATACTAGAGGCACCAAACACAACGAAACAAAGAAAAATATAATGATATAATCAATATATGCAAAACATCTACACAAATAAGTCTTTTGGGAAAAATTAAATGGCCAGTTCTTACGGTTTCACTGGATGTTTAACTAGGTCGCAATTATAGGTTTTAGTTCTTACGCTAATAATCTGTTAATTAGAGCTTATGTGAATACTAACTAAAAATGCATGTAAGTTGTCACAAAATACAAAATAAAAAAGTTTTTGGAAATGAAATAAAATTTCTTTATTATCAACATAAAAGTACATTATTATGTTCATAGTTGTCTCCTCACGCATCCTTATATAATCTATAATATGGTTGGTTTTCATGATTGTATTTAAATCAACACGGTAAAATTAATTCAGATGCATGTCGAGCGCATAAGAACCATGTCATCATGGTTAGTCATGCCCTTCCTCTTACAAACTAACAAATAATGAGTATAGGGACTAATACCTATCATTAAGGAAAGTATAAGGACCAAATGAAAAGGAAAAACTATAATTAGAACTGAATTAAAAATGAGGTGAAAATGTTATAGCGAGGGACTTAACATATTGATTTTCTATCTTTTTTTTTTAATCTGGAGAAATTGATAACTGGCAATATTAGTACCTCATGGCCATTAGTAGAGTATAATGATCCAGACAGATCAGGAATGGTCTGATTGATCTTCTTCCCAAATTGATGGATAGAATCTGCCCTCAATACGTCATCTTTTGTTGTTCTTCTTATGGGAATGGTTCCTTTTGGACAATTTCCACTTTGGTGCCACAATTGAGCAATTGGGTTTGATTGTGAAAAATTGCTTCTTTTTGGACAGAATGTTGGCCTCATCTTCATCGAATATAGAATACAATTTTAAGCCTCAGAATTGTGGGCGAGAAAATCCAATTTATATAACAAAAAGGACAAATAATCAAAATAAATTATTTTACCTGAATTTTGTGATTCTTCAACTTCGGATGATCAAAAGCTGGTTGATTTAAAATATGTACGCAGTCGATTATGTCACCATCGGGACTCTGCTTTTTATTTTATTTTATAATACTAAACGTTAACACAAATATAATGATAAATTATAAAACCCAGAAATATATAAATTTCTTCTTAAGTGGAACTCGACAAAAATTAGCATAATGCATGTTCTTGATATTCTACTATATAAGAACGTTAACTGCCAAAGCATAATGAATCATATAATCTTCTTTTTCACATAAAATGAAACTAAGTTTGCAAATTGGTAGTCTAACACAAAGTTAAGATTGAATGAGTAGTGGTCAAATTTTTGAATTTAAATGTCAATCATAATTAACCAAAAATAGTGGAAGGGGGCTAAACTGTAACCTTAATGGACTTAACGGCTGGTTTATTCAACTTCTTCAAGAGTTTCTCAACCTCAAGTTCCTTAGCTTTGTTGACTGTTTCTTGACCTGCCATTGTCATGTGAAC